CAGTGGTTCCTCTTAAATTTTGTAGATCATGACATTTTTTGAACAAAAATAGACATTTGTATGGGAACAATGACGTGTATTTACCATATCTGTCCTGCCCGTCTTCATACGAGATGTTACAAGGATGTTAAAACCAAGGTTGAAAACAAAATTTTGTCAGGCGACAAACGTCAATCAAAAACAATTCTGGAGTTTCCACTACAGTTTGAATTTGACATCACGCTACGACTGGTCCCCGATTGCTCTGATATGTAATAGTCCTTCTTGTTCCTAGCTTATGAAAAACCAACTTTGGTTTGTCGATGTGTTCAAAGGGTACGTAAATATTCATATATGTACTTTGAAGAAAATGCAATAGGTGGATTTGAAGCATAGTATTCACTATTTTATATATTCTAAATGTGTATGTAGTGTGTATGCTTCAAGCGATTGGAAACAGGCCGTTGCCTTCCGTCTCGCCTCGTAGACGCTGTCGTGATGTTGAAAGACAAAATGAAATGCATTGCAGATGCAAGACAAATAAGTTGGACCCCTGGTTTAGATCAGTTTATCCTGTAAAAGAGCACGGAAGGACGCATATATCGTTCATTAGCCCTACAAACACAGATACGGAAACATCGTTAGTGGACACTGGTCAAGTATTCAATAACAGGGTTGTAAATAAGTGATTAACTCCCAACAGCAATAAATATTTCAAAAACACTGGTCATAATTCCTTCTAAATTTACACCTACAGTCAACCAATGCTTTACTTCCTTATAGAGTATGTACATTTTATATCTCTCCCATAACTGCAATAACTTTCATCACTCACATCTCTTGGTTTATGGTGGATAATTACACAGTTTGGAATATACCTTCGTACGGTATGACGTAACACCGGCATTCGTCTTAGTTAGAGAGGTGAACCCTTACGCAAACGGAACAATTTTGACCACACCAAAATGGAGGTCGATTTCTTCCCTACGTTTTTACAATTTCGTCTTATTTTTAAACAAGCCAAGAATGTTGTTTACACTACATGTACCTTGGAATTGTCACTGTACTACTTCGAATTTTCAAATTACGCTTACCATCGATTCAAATGGATTGATTAATTACTTAGGTAAAAGTAACTAAAATTGGTGTTGTTGTTTTTTACAAACGGCGCAGAGTAGAACCTAGACAAACGTTCAAGTAATTCATTGTCGCGACATTTCTTCTATTAAAACGCTACATGGTATGTGGTGGGCTCTTACATGTTGCGACGCTGGTTCTTATTAGGTTTTACTTTTTACACATGTATGTATTCCAAATAGGATAACATCTCAATCTGTAGCTCGTCTCCTTAACTGTGTTATGACCATTGTGATGATACAGATATCATTGCGGTATTGTTACGGACAAGTAAACCATTACTCCATTTGAATCAATCTCATGGGGTTGCATGTAGCAGTCATTTCATTTTTTTAACTTCGATAGAATATCCAACAGCATATCGTGTTAGCTTCTGTTAATTTGCACTGTGATGTATTATTGATGTCTCAGTATTGCATAAAGAAGAATTGTAATTATCAAGTACATTTTATCACGTGTACAACGTTTTTGTCATCCTATTCAAAGGCTTATTTATGATCTATAAACTGATTCTTTTTTATATATATCTGTATATGAAACCCGCATTTTTTTCATAATAGGACTAAACCTTACAAAATTCCCTAGTGTTTCTATAACGTCTAAACTCCTCAGCAGTTAATTTTACTTGTAGGAAATAAAGTTTGGGTTTTGGTTATATTTGTTAACGTCCCTACTTTAGGACGTGTTTTCATGTGTATGTGCTGCGTATGTGGTTGTGTGTGTGTGTGCTGTAGGCAGGGTATGTTAAGTTAATATCCTTGTGATACCGTGGATCTGATGTCGACTTTAGAGTGCTACATGTACTTCCCTGAAATACCATGACGAATGCACTGAACAACTTGTTGATGTTGTTGTTGTTGTTGTTACCCATAATGCTGAACGTTAATTAATGTCTTGGCCTGGGGAGAGAATTCATTGCCTCACTAACCTGGGAGAACGGTCAACACTAAGGCAAATACAGATGTAGTGAGGTTATTCCAAGCAAGGTGTCAGGAAACAAAAGGGTTGTGAGGAGGTAGAAAGACCATCTAAATATCCCATATATTGCAATGGATGCAGCAGACTTATTTTGGTCGGTTTTTGTTGTCCCACGTAGGGAGCACAAACGTCCAAAACTCTGCAGCTACAGCTATAGACGTACACTGTACTTTTTTTTTTTAACAAATGTTTTGAATCAGGCACAATACCTAACCAAAGGACAAAGGGGATTATAAATCCACTACCAAAGTCATCCACTACAGATCCGCGCGATCCTTCGGGTTACTGTGGAATAAGGCTTGCGTCTCCAATATATGAACTGTACGGTAGAGTGTCTTAAATCAACGAATGACTTTGTGGAAGGGCGCTACGATTTAAGGAAACAACATTCACTTCGATCATCGATAAACCTAAAGCCCAGAGGAAATCTTTGTTTGCTGCCTCCATTGACTTTCGTACGAGGCCATGGACCATGTCGGCAGAACAGTATTATGAAACAAGCTGCACAATCTGGAAATTGGGAGTCACATGCTAAAGATTTTTTTATAAAATCAAATTAAATTGCAAAATGTTGCATGCAAGTCATTGAGATAAATTCGAACTGTTTCTGTGTTAAATTTTGATACAATTGTATCAAACAAGGATATATATTTTCATCAGCAGCGTTTCGTTCGATTTTTATATTCACAACGAAGTTGATCCGATATCGACGGAGGAAAACTAGTGTTTAGTAATATATTACAATGTAATGCTGATGATGTAGTGCTACAAGACAGTAATAGCAGAGACAGGGGGTTATCTTCTGATGGGGGAGTGCTACAAGACAGTAATAGCAGAGACAATGGGTTAGCTTCTGATGGTGTAGTGCTACAAGACAGTAATAGCAGAGACAATGGGTTAGCTTCTGATGGTGTAGTGCTACAAGACAGTAATAGCAGAGGCAGGAGGTTATCTTCTGATGGGGTAGTGCTACAAAACAGTAATAGCAGAGACAGTGGGTTATCTTCTGATGCTGTAGTGCTACAAGACAGTAATAGCAGAGACAATGGGTTAGCTTCTGATGGTGTAGTGCTACAAGACAGTAATAGCAGAGGCAGGAGGTTATCTTCTGATGGGGTAGTGCTACAAAACAGTAATAGCAGAGACAGTGGGTTATCTTCTGATGCTGTAGTGCTACAAGACAGTAATAGCAGAGACAATGGGTTAGCTTCTGATGGTGTAGTGCTACAAGACAGTAATAGCAGAGGCAGGAGGTTATCTTCTGATGGGGTAGTGCTACAAGACAGTAATAGCAGAGACAGTGGGTTATCTTCGAAAACTGCTAGGTGCTTTAAACATTTGATGTGGGGGAAATAAAATGTCCACTACGGCCAATATTCCCAAAAAAGTACATTTCAGGACACTATCAGTACCAAGAACCACCAGGATATTTACATGCAGGGACACAGTTATTGGTAACATCAATATACCTCCCTACACTTGTAACTTGTCTTGTGGTTTCGGGACACACATGGCTTATATTTGATATCGAGCAGTATCTACATGTAATTCGGTTAACATTTGAAGTGATCTGGCGGTTTTCGTTTAATTTAAAACATTTACGAAACTTGATTAATATCTGGTGTGGTTAGTCATCAGCTATATGATGTGGCCATATATGGATCGGGGGTCCAAATACTATTCGTGCATTGATGTTGTACAAAATTAAACCACACTACGCGTAATATGGAGCAAGGGAAATGTGCACATTCATGTAGCGTACACTGCAGTACAAGGCAATAATAGATGAACCCCGACCACAGGAGCACAGTAAAGAAATGTGATACTGTAAATATAGATAACAGAAATTAATATAGTATGGACAACTGTATGTAGAGTGAACAGAAAAATGATTGTATAGACGGATAGGAGTTGCGGGCTAAATTGTCGCAATTTTTACTCCCAGTTAAAGGAACATTTTGAAAGGCTTTCCAGAAAACGAGATAAACCGACACATAATTGACAAATCAGTCATATGGCTAAGACAATATAAACACAAATTAAAACTTAAATTTGTATAATGGGGATGAATACTGGCCTTACAGGTATTCTACTAATATACAAATGTACGAAATGATGGAAATTATCATTATATGGCGCATTAACCTCACTTTTAAACTAGGACTACACTTGTGTTATTCAGTTGTGAAATGATATTTATGAATTATACGTACTTCCCTATTTAACGAAGAACAAATCTTTATACAATAGAATATCAGAAAATTGTTGATTAAGTCCTTTGTTGTGTCGACAGGGAGGCAACTCGTACAAAACCATCTAAGATAGCATCTCATTCCGTGATAATCATTGTTTTTATTGTTACATTGAAAGGAATCATAGGTTCTGTAATTGCATAACCATGTGATTTTAATATGTGTGATGTATTGGAAAGAACCGATAAGGAATAACTTCTGCTAAGTAGCTACGTATAACATGCATGCATCATATGTAAATTTGTAGGTAATGGTGCATATTTCTGCTAACTTAACGGTGAATGCGATTTGTATTACATCTTCATCTACAAAGAATTAACGATAGACAACGTACTGGACCGTGGAGTGGTAATGCCATGGCCAGATCTGAATACCTGATTTTGCACCTGTATATATGCTCACAAGATAACGATAATTATAAGATGACTGTCTTAGCTGGAGACTATCAAATGTGGCAGTCAGATGGGACCATCGATTTTTTCCACCAGTCCTTACAATGTAACCTCATTAACACGTGTTTTTATTGGATTGGCTGCTGTGAAGTTATTAGCGAGCACAACAAACCGAAAGTAGAATACAATTTTAAACGTTTTGGTAACATTGATATAAAGTATACACTGTATAATGCACATTCTGTACTGTTTGTGTGAAACGCAAAAATGACCTCGATCATGCATACAGCATGTTGCCATCGACGCTAACCGAACCCGCATAACCAGGAAGGTAAATTACACAATGCCAGGACTTAAGTAATGCTTTTCCAGAAATCTTCTTGAAGTGTCAGTTGATCAATTTTACACCGTATTTATACAATTTATATGCGTGACGATATTTTTACGATGTCCAAATTAACACAGTTAAACGTTTAACAGAAAATTAACCAGTGATATGGCGTACTCCCCTTCAGTCTCGGTGATAAATGGTATAGAGATATGCAGTGGCAGATCCAGAGGGGTTTTTTGGGCTTCAGGAAACCCCCCCACCCTGATNCTGATATGGTAGTGATTTTTATTGTTGTATTCACTGACACTGTGATCTATACATGTTTTGTATATCTATCTACACGTACGCGACACTAAGGACTGTAAATTCATGTCGTTTACGTATAATCTGATATGCGGAAAGAGCTAGGGTTCATATATATTCACCCTTTGTCAAAATAAAAAAAAAGATTTGGAAAACATCAAGTGACAAATAAGATATTAATTGAAAGGTAAACGTTGGAAATGGGTATCAATTTGGGTACACTGACGTTACACTATAATGTTTGTGTAATGCTTCTAGAGGCATGACAAACTATACATCTATATCTATCTGTTTTTGATGGTTTTAATGTTTTTAATTAAAAAGTCAGAAGACAAATCCAATTTTTATAAGTTAAACAAATCGCATTAGATATTTATGTGAGAAATAAATTAATTTTGCTCAAAAGATGATATTCTAATACTTGTTTGACTTTCCATACGTAATATTTAATTTTCAAAATTATCTTATTTTTTAGCTTGTTTTTGAAATGGTATGGGGTCAAGCAATAGCATTGATAACACTAACCAAGTGTCAAAGCAGACAGCTCCTGTAACCGACAACACTGCTGGTAATGTACAAAATACTACCTCCACTGACAACTCTCAACCACATAAATCCAAACTGAAAAGCAGTCTGAAGAAAACTATTCAGAACTCGGATACACAAACTGTCACTCAACCAAGCACTGGCATGTCCAGGAAGCTTAATGTGTCCATTAGACCTGGGACAGAATCTCCGACTCCTAGCAAGAGGCCTCCAATGCGCACCATCTCAAAGATCATACGAGATGCGGATGATCAGCTGTACAATAGATTCCCGGAAATGAAGGATACTTTAAATGGAATAACAACATTAGGGCCATGGCTTTCCTCTCTGATTGAGGACGGAGAGGAACCCGAGGAACCTGACTGTAAGGACGTTGGGCAGCAACTCAAGACAAAGGTCCTGGACAAATTTGATATGTTTAACGAATCAGACCAAAGAAAACTGATGGGAAACCACATGGCAAAACATGGGTAATGTTGTCAAATACAGTGGCATGTTATATATGTTATCTTAATTTACTGATCGAAAGAATTAAATGCATGTCAATTTACTCATAACTGTACTTATGGAAAACATGCACACTTCAATATTATAACAAATGTTAAAAGAAAAAAAGGTAATTTGACCATATTGTTTTAAGGAACATCTTCTCTTGAACAAGGAGATTTATATCAACCATATTTGGGCGTAAGCATTCTCAGGTGACAGGGATTCAAAATTGTACAAATGGAGGGGCTGACCTGAAGTGAGTGAGGGGAGTGGGGCCTGAGTGTTGGGGCAAAAAAATGTAATATGGCATTATGTTGAATGTTTTCAGAGACTTCCTCTCTGGACCTAAGAGATGGATATATCAACCATATTTGTTGGAGGGCATTTTCATGAGGAAGTGATTCAAAATTGTACAAATGGAGGGATTACCACACTCCCTTTATGGTGTCGGACTTAAGATTATTTTTTCAGGATACATGATACATTTAACTTTCATTATTCTCTAACAAACTTAAGTTAAATTTGTTTACCTCAAAAAGTTTTTTCAGCATTTGGTAATTTCATTCCAAAACAAACAGGCAGTTCTTCACAGCTAATAATATGAGTATGTATTTAAAAAGAGCATGAAGCCAAAAATACACAGTATTACTGCTATGCTTTTATTTATTTTTTAAATATGATGTGTTTTTCAGATTTGTGAAGGATTTGGGTGATTTTTACAAGTTTCTGCTGAAAGCCCTTCCATTACCCGAGTATACTTTGGCAGAGGCTGATGACAAAGATGATGGCATCGCAGTTGTAGAACAGATGCGCCATATATTCTGGAATCTATCAGACAATAGTGTAGAATTTTGTAATGAGATAGTGGAAAACACCGGCATGATCCGATTGCTTGTCATAGACCTTCTGGCCATGAAGGAAAGAGAACTTAATCTCATCAAGGTAAGTAATATAACATGTCCCTCTTATGCAATATGCGTTCAATGTACTGATTACAGTAGCAGTTTATTAATGTATTTCTTTGTAAGTTCAGAAAAAAGGTATATGCAATGTACATACATAAATTTGTATGTATACCAACAGAATTTATAATTTTGATAATATCATTTTATTTTTATTTCATTATTTTTTTTCATGCTTTTTACATTAACTATAATAATTGTACACAAATTCAATGTCTTATGCCCCTTCCCAAAAAACGTTTCAAATGCATCGTTTTGATTATCTTCTAAGTGGTTAAGTATTTTGCAAGAGTTGTCTCCCTTCCTCCGTTGGGTCGATGTATCAGAATTTTTTAATTTTGAATGTTACAATCATAAACTTTCATTAAGTATTTTACATGAACTGAAAACTGCTCAAGCAAAATTTAACAATGAATAAATTGAATTTTTTCCTTTTCATTTAATATTTTTTAATTAAATATGGTGAAAATGTATGTTATTGTTGCTGGAAATGAAGTTCTCATTTGTCAGAGGGAATTAATCATTATATTAAGTGGAATGTGACATAAAGAAACATGTTTTACTGATGTTTCTCAGCTGTCAAAACCTGGAAGTGACCATTATTAAAATGTCCAAGTGATGTTGTTTTAAATAGATAATTGTTTAATCAATAAATGTAACTGATGTGAATGTTTCTTTTATTTGTTTCTTTTATTGAAAAATGCAGCTCAAAAAACGTTTGCTGTATCATGTATTCAGGGGTGTGTACCTGACAATCGTACATGATCAAATAGGCCTAGATCAATATGTAGATGTAATATCTATGTCAGGTTATAAAGAGACAGTTCAGCACTTTTTTACTTTTTTTCAGGAGGACTCCTTTCCGTTCGTGTCGGCAGTAGGTATCCTACACAATGTGGCTCGCTCAGGTGTTACCAAATCATTCTTCAGTGTTGTCCTAGATGAAAAAGAAACAAACGAGAATGCCCATCCGACAAATGTCTGGGACGTCCTGATGCCTTTCTTAAAGACCAAAAATATGCGTAAGTCCTAAATGTGTTTACATTAAAAGGTTTATATAACTGATATAATTACATAACAGGGATGCATGGCTAATCCGACAGAAGAGCTGACAGTTACTACTAGTATCTGTATATATTTCATAAAAGTAAAAAAAAAAAATATGTAGCAACTGTAAAATCCCTACTAACAATCTGGATCCTTGTGAACAGATGTTTGGATGATACAAATTATTTGAACTTGGTTAGGGCACAATAATAATACATGTTATACAAAAAAAATGTATAAGCAGCCCTCTTAATCAGAGGAAGTTAGGATCTAGATGATACCCCAAGCAATACCATCTTTAGTTTGCCTAATTATCAAGTTTACCTTGCCAAAATAAAATTAAAGCACGATACATGTATATGTTCTCTACATACAGGGTTAAATAGTATGAGATGTTGTCACTATATGCTACCAATGATTGTCTCCCTTACAGACATCAAGTTGATAACCCTTTTGTGCCTGGCACACATTGTTAATGAGCAACAGAACAAGGACTTGTCAGGAAATGCCTCACTGTTTGACTTCCTGTTGGAGATGATGAAAGCAGCCATAAAGAACAAAGACCGCAGACAGTATGGTTTTAGTGTAGAGGAACTGCTTGATGGACTCGCTAATCTTGCCAAAAATGACAGCAACAAGGCCATCATCATGGATAAAAAGGCCTTCCCTATCCTAAGGGACATTATCATGAAAGGCAAGAGTGAAGGGGAGAAGGCTGAGGCTCTCAAGGTTATCTGGGAGCTGGCCTTTATGGGGAAAAACAAGCAGATCTTCATGGTAAGTCAGGAAGGGTTACACACAAATGTGATGTAGATATAAACCTCAAGAAAACTCCAAATTTATCAAAGGTATTTTTATGTTTTTGCTTCTAGAAACACTAGAAACAGTAGCTGTATCAATTAATGTAAGGTTTGGTTTGGTTTGATTTATTTAGGTTTAAAGTCATTTTAACAGCTAAAGTCATTGAAGGATTTACCTCAAGGTTTGTGATGTATGTGTGTGTTTGTATGTGTGCTGGAGGCAGGGTATGTTGGTATAGTGTTAATCTGGTGTGGAATATAGAGTGCTACCTCTCTGAAATAGCATGCCAAAGGCACTCAACACAGTTTTCCACCCCTTCATAATATACTGACAATGGATAAACCAGTTGTGGTGAATACCCTAAATGCTGAACTTTAAGAAGCGAATGCCAACTACCATTTTTAAGGACTTTGGTATGTCCCGGCCCAGGAACAGGATCCATTGCTTACCCCACTTCCAAAATGTTGAAATGAGACAGCAGATCTATTTCGGTTTCTTCTATACCCCCCTAGCAGAATACAGAAGCAAACCCCAATTCTGCAGGGGGGGACCCATCGAAGGTGCCATTTTTGTACGATGTGCAGTGAGATACAGCAACCCTGAACCTACACCAGAGGAAACATTTAAGAAGAGTGGTGCATATTTGATCACAAGGACAAATGTCTTGTAAAACAGGAAATTTTTGAAAGCACCACCTTATTATCCCCATTTTGCTTATGAACAAGATGTAACAATCTACTCTTATGGTTTAAATTCTTCAAACTTGGTCTATATATAGGCCTAAAATATCTCCCATGCTATATGTATAACATCAAAATAACTAAAAGCAATTAGTAAAACATGCAAGTAGAAAATTATTTGGTGCTTTTCTGCAGTTGACAAACACATGGCGACCATGTCTGTGCTCAAATAAAGTCATGTTTACCTAGGCATGTAAATTGAATCGAATTCAGGATAAGACTATACATTGTATAGCATGTAAAATCAGAAGAAACAAGCAACGACCAGCTCATACAAAAAAAATAACCGTAGACTGCTTATAAAAAATACAAAATTTGATACACACAAATTAAAACATCTGATAACAGTTTTGTTTACATGTAAGAAAAATACAAAAAAAAATAAGTGAAGAATAATTCTTACTAGTAATTGCTGTCTAAGCTATTTATTTGTAATTGGTTATAAAGTTATCTTCAAACCTATTGTTTACAATATTAAGCAAGGTAACTGACATGTTCTTATGCATTGTAAATATATACCTATTTTTGTTCACTAAAGTTTAGCTTTCAGTAGTCATGGAAATAAATCTTGTCAATGTGCTTTTGCCTAATCTTATTTATGTACACACGGTTGTAGATATCTGAAATGTTTCTATCAATGGTCAGTCTTTATTTTCAATGTAGATATGATAGATGTGTGTAGACCTCATGTTTCATTGCCAGGGTGACAAGGACTTCTGGAAGAAGTTGTACTCACTACAGAGTGAAGAAGATCACGAGGGGGTGGCGAGGGCAGCTCAGGGTGCCTGCTTTGTTATCACTGATGGCGATCTCCAAAGCAAAGCTCCATCCGGCGTCAAAAGCTTCAGGAAACCTGCGCCTGGTATAATCTTACAAAGTTCTTAACATATTTTCCTTTACCTTCTTTTGAAGTCAATGCATTTCAGTTTAAAGTCCGGGGAGATTCAGGAAACCTGCGCCTAGTATCATCTCACAAAGTTCTTTACATATTTTCCTTTACCTTCTTTTGAACATGTTTGGATACTGGGCAGTACAAATCTTGTTCAAATGAACTACCTTGCCCCATTTTCATTGTCACAGGGGTAAAGTGTTTAAAGATCCTTTAAAAAAACTTAATACTGAACCAAAAAATGTTGGCCTGTATCTTTATTTAGCTCATTGAATTATTTTGGATCTTGGTCCTGTTTTAAGGCTTCTGGTTTGAGATTTATCCCAAGTGAGCTAATCAGGATCATTTAGCCTCTTGTTTTCACTGACTTTTTTAATCTTAATATGAAAGTAATTGAAGGAAGACAGATTGTTAAGAAAAAAGGTGCTATATTTGAGACAATTAAAGTCGCAATGGTTGTGTTAATAATGAAAGGAGAGGAACAAACTTTGGAGTAGTGAAAGGGGGATGGGAGATTTGTATCATTAGGGATAATTGATGATTCAGACGGAAGCCTGGGAATCTTCATGGGCGAGTGGACATTTGACTGATTGCTATTACAAGTTTGAAAACAGCATTAAGGTATTTCTTAAAAAAAATCTTCTCATTAACAGCATTTAAGAATTTAAATGTAGCTTGCTTTCATGTCATGAAAAAGTGTTGCTTTGTTTTTAGTCAATTTAAAATATATCAAAGTTCATCACCAAGTCAGCATGTTTTCACATTTTCCATTTTGTTAGAATGAAATATGTTATTAGTTTAACAGTCGTCACTATAATCACCTGAATTTCTGTATCACAGCTGTGCCAAAGGAGGAGAAGAAAGAAGAGGACCAGCATATAATGATAAGTTACAACTGGGCTGACCAGAAAAAGTTACTTAAGGTAACAGTAAACAACAATATCAATAGTTTGAGGATCTTATATACCGCTTTATCACAACCTAGTTCGTAGGTTGTCTCAAAGCGGTTCACAAATTATCATCCGTGGTTATAGGGCCTTTTCAACCAGCCAGTATCTTTCTCAACTCCCTGGGGAGCATACATACAGCCCATGCTGCCATTTAGGCGCCCACAGCTAGCATTCAACAATTCTAGCACTGCCCAACCACTTACTTATCTACAGCTGAGTAGACTGGAACAAGCGGAGTAAAGTATCTTGCTAAAAAAAAAAAACAGTGCCATGCCTTGACTCGAACTCGCAACCCTTTGGTCAGGAGCCCGGCATCCTGCCACTAGACTACTGCAACATTGTAATGCCAGACATTTCTATCAGAGGATAAAAATTAATAAAGTGAAAATTGGTCAAAAGCATCAGTGTTACGTAGGATATTTTAGATAACACTTTATTTTCTTATTCCTGTTTATTTTATACCTTTCAATGAATCTCACTCAGGTGTAGTATGGTGTTGTGAAGGCCATGGTAATATTACCCTAACCCTCACCAATGGTAAAGAGATACTCTTTTCCAAAACTTTGAAAGATAACTCTCTTTGCAAAGAAACATCATTTTGTTGTTCTGTACATGTAAATAATATAACTTAGATCTCTGGTTGAGAAATTTAGGGCAGGCCAAATGTTGGTCTCTGATCAAACTTGGTCGATATTTGAATAATTCAAAGACAAAGATTTTGCTCCAAATTGAACAAAAATTGTGAAAAGTTATTTAGCATACAATGCTAAGATTGGGCGACAATTCCACACAAAAGCTTATTTAAATATGACTGGATTCTGATGAAACTTGGTCATTTGATCCCAGTTTATTTTTCTGTGTTTCATAATGAATTATGCCATAATGATGACATTTTATGGCTGGATTTTTCTTAGGTGCGTGATAGCCTCCAGGAGGTTGGATACAAGGTATGGATGGATGTAGACAACATGGAGGGAGACATCCTTGATGCCATGGCTCGTGCTGTAGAGAATGCCCAAATTGTCCTCATATGCTACTCTGAGAAATACAAGGAAAGCAAAAACTGTAGAACAGGTATTAACATTGAATTCATATATAAGAAAGTCTGTTTTTAAAAGTTTAAACATGATAAATATTAAGATTGTTCTTCCCAAAGCAATACTGCCATATCTTATTATGGTATGGTGAGTGTATCTTTGAAGTTTTCATTTCTACTGAACTTATTTCATTGATGAATAATTGAATATTTTGATTCAGCAGCTGTCTTAAGCTCCAGGTTAGTGGCAGAAGAATAATCACAGTAAAAATATGCAAACATTTTCATCAAGATTGTCCTAATTCTTGAAATTAAGATCAAAAGGGCTTTTTAAAATCTTCATTATGTCAATGTTTTACACCAGTTATCATCCTTTTGTCACCATTTGTAAGTTACTACAGTTATTGTCCTTGGCCTTTATCACTAATGTTACTTATCATGTCCTTTGTAACCTTTTTTACTGACCTTGACCTTTGTTATCACTGTTACTGATCATGACCTTTGTTATCACTGTTACTGACCAAGTCCTTTGTAACCATTTTTACTGACCTTGACCTTTGTAACCACCATTACTGACCATGTCCTTTGTAACAACTATTACTGACCTTGACCTTTGTAACCACTGCTACTTACTTTGATCTTGCTACTACTGTTACTGACCTTGACTTTTGTCATCACTGTTACTGGCAATGACCTTTTGTTATCACTGGTACTGACATTTGTCACTTCTTTCCCTGATGTTACAAACTGTTAACTTCGTCACCACTGTTCCTGACCTTTTCATGTGTCTCCACCTGTTATTGCTGATATTTTTGCTTTGTTTCCAGAGTTTACTGAACCAGTCTCTCTGTTTCATCTCTTGTTAATGATCTTGCATTTCAGCATTACCTTTTGCTGACCTTGCCCTTTATCATCATTGTTCCTAACCTTGCCCTTTATCATCACTGTTCCTGACCTTGCCCTTTGTCATCACTGTTCCTAACCTTGCCCTTTATCATCACTGTTCCTTACCTTGTCCTTTGTCATCACTGTTCCTAACCTTGCCCTTTGTTATCACTGTTCCTGACCTTGTCCTTTGTCATCACTGTTCCTGACCTTGCCCTTTGTCATCACTGTTCCTGACCTTGCCCTTTGTCATCACTGTTCCTGACCTTGCCCTTTGTCATCACTGTTCCTGACCTTGCCCTTTGTCATCACTGTTCCTGACCTTGCCCTTTGTCATCACTGTTCCTGACCTTGCCCTTTGTCATCACTGTTCCTGACCTTGCCCTTTGTCATCACTGTTCCTGACCTTGCCCTTTGTCATCACTGTTCCTGACCTTGCCCTTTGTCATCACTGTTCCTGACCTTGCCCTTTGTCATCACTGTTCCTGACCTTGCCCTTTGTCATCACTGTTCCTGACCTTGCCCTTTGTCATCACTGTTCCTGACCTTGCCCTTTGTCATCACTGTTCCTGACCTTGCCCTTTGTCATCACTGTTCCTGACCTTGCCCTTTGTCATCACTGTTCCTGACCTTGCCCTTTGTCATCACTGTTCCTGACCTTGCCCTTTATCATCACTGTTCCTGACCTTGCCCTTTTTCATCACTATTCTTAACCTTGCCCTTTGTCATCACTTGCTACTAACTTTACCTTTGTCATCAATAGGTCCAGACATTGCCTTTTCTTACTACCTGTTAATACCCTTGCACTTTGTTGATCAGAGGCCCAGTATGCCTACCAGGTGAACAAGGAAATAGTTCCAATATTGATGCAGACCAAATACAAACCAGAGGGCTGGCTTGGTATCCTGGTCGGATCCAAGTTGTTCTTTGAATTTACAAATAAGTACCCTTTTGAGTCCAAGATAAGAGATCTGATACGGGAGTTGGAGAACCGATTTAGAGTATCGTTTAGGAGAGATTCAACACCGAAATTACACAGCCTTGTTTCAGCAAAACTTCAGCAAGTCAAACAGGTTGGTAAAATAATGATAAACTCAGCAAAAATTGTTTACCCATTACTAAAAACAATAAATTACTCTGATATTAAGTAACGTTAGGCTTGGGCTTAAAAAAAAATGTTTAAAAAATACTACTTGTATCTTATTTTTCTCTATTTAAGGTTAGTCATCATTTTCACAAATGAACAATATATATACATTTGAGATCATCTACCTGGACCCTGATTAACATGTATCTTCTACACATTGATGTTGTGTGATATCACTTATACCTTTACACTTGATATATCACCTACAACTTTACACTTTGATATATTACCTACATATTCAGACTTTTATGTATTACCTAAATGTACAACTTGACACTGTGAAATACATGTATCACCTACAACTTTACACTATGATATACCACCTACAACTTTACACTTTGATATATCACCTACAACTTTACACTGATGTATCACCTACAACTTTACACTGATTTATCACCTACAACTTTACACTGATTTATCACCTACAACTTTACACTGATTTATCACCTTCAACTTCACGATGATTTATCACCTACAACTTTACACTGTAATATATCACCTACACCTTTACAATGTGATGTATCACCTACACCTTTAAAATGTGATGTATCACCCTAACCTTTACATTATGATATATTGCCTACAATTTTACACTTTGATATATCACCTTCACCTTTACACTATGATATATCACTTACAACTCTACATTTTGATGCATCACCTTTACCTTTACACTGTAATATATCACTTTTAACTTTGCACTTTGATATATCACCTACACCTTTGCACTTTGATATATCACTTACAACTTTACACTTTGATATATCACCTACAATTTTACGCTTTGATATATCACCTACACTTCTACATTTTGATGCATCAATTATACCTTTACACTTTGATATATCACTTATACCTTTACACTTTGATATATCACTTATGCCTTTACACTATGATATATCACGGGACACCTACAACTTTACACTTTGATATATCACCTACACCTTTACACTTTTATGTATTACTTTTAACTTTGCACTTTGATATATCACCTACACCTTTACACTTTTATATGTCTCTTATACCTTTACAATGTGATATATAACTTATACCTTTACACTTTGATATATCACCTACACCTTTACACTTTTATATATCACTTTTAACTTTGCATTTTGATATATCACGTCAAACACTATACTTTGATATATCACCTACATTGTACACCTTTACACTTTGATATATCACATACAATTTTACACTCTTTGATATCACCTTTACCTTAACACTTTGATATATCACCTACACATTTATTCTTGTATATATCACTTATACCTTTATACTTTGATATATCACTTATACCTTTACACTGTGATATATCACCTACACCTTTACACTTTTATATATCACTTTTAACTTTGCATTTTGATATATCCCTAAATTTTCACACTGTGATATATCACCTACATCTTTACACTGTGATATATAACTTATACCTTTACATTTTGATATATCCCCTACACATTTACACTTTTATATATCACTTTTAACTTTGCACTTTGATATACAACTGTATCCCCAAACCTTTACACTGTGATATATCACCTACACCTTTTCACTTTGATATATTGCCTACAACTTCACACTTTGATATATCACCTACACCTTTACACTGTGATATATCACCTACACATTTACACTTTTATATATAACTTTTAGCTTTGCACTTTGATATATAACCTACAACTTTACACTGTGATATATCACCTACACTTTAATACTTTGATATATCACCCACACCTTTACAATGTGATATATCATCAACAACCTAACACTGTGATATATCACTTATACCTGTACAATGTGATATTATCACCTACGCCATTACAATGTGACATATTACCTCAAACTTTACACTGTGACATATAACTTATACCTTTACACTTTGATATAACACCTACAACTTTACACTGTGACATATTATACCTTTACACTCCGATATATCACCTACAACTTTACATTTTTATATATCACTGATACCTTTACACTTTGATATATAACCTTCAACTTAACACTGTAATATATCACTTATACCTTTACACTTTGATATATCACATACAACTTTTCACTTTGATTTATAACCTACACCTTTACACTTTGATATATAACCTACACCTTTACGCTTTGATATATCACCTACAACTTATTACTGTGTCATATTATACCTTTACACTCCGATATATCACCTACAACTTTACATTTTGATATATCACCTTCAACTTTACACTGTAATATATCACTTATACCTTTACACTTTGATATATCACCTACACCTTTACACTATGATATATCACTTACAACTTTACATGTTGATGCGTCACCTACACCTTTACACTTTGATATATAACCTACAACTTCATACTTTGAAATATCACCTACACCTTTTCATTTTGATTTATAACCTACACCTTTACACTTTGATATATAACCTACACCTTTTCATTTTGATTTATAACCCACACCTTTACACTTTGATATATCACCTACAACTTAACACTGTGTCATATTATACCTTTACACTCCGATATATCACCTACAACTTTACATTTTGATATATCACTCATACCTTTACACTTTTATATATAACCTTCAACTTTACACTGTAATATATCACTTATACCTTTACACTTTGATATATCACCTTCACCTTTGCACTATGATATATCACTTACAACTCTACATTTTGATGCATCACCTACACCTTTACACTTTGATATATAACCTACAACTTCACACTTTGAAATATCACCTACACCTTTACACTTTGATATATCACCTACACATTTACACTTTGATATATGACTGACAATGTACACCTCACTCACTGCTGGTTTATGTTTTATATGTTTTGTGTCAAAGATATATTATACACATGCACTATGCTTTGGAAGATGACGGGAAATGAAAAATTAATATTGTTTTGTTTTTATTAACCAGACTAACCTAGCAGACAAAAAATCGATGTTAACATGGACCAAGGATGACCTCAGCGAATGGTTGACTAGAAACAAGCTGGAAGCGTATGTATTTACTGTGCATAGCATACATGAACACAACATTAGCCTGTATAAAGTGAGAAGTGACCTTTTCCGACACAGTAGCTGGGTCAGATATACATAATTTATATGTAACAACTATAACAAAGTCACTGGGGTCAGATTTTCTCTGTTGCTTTGTTTTACCACATAGATGTAGAGAAGGAAAGGTAATATGAACACCTATATGATGTATTGATTTGAAGCAATAACAACGATGTTCCTGGGGAGGCTTGTTATGATTAAAACACAGAGGTTAGAGCTACATGATCTGATTAACATAGTAATCATACACTATCCTGTCTATCCTACCTAATTACCAGTATGCTACCCCAGTGTGTCCTTAACCTGTTACATCTGTAACCATGTACTAAATGATTTATGTTTTTCTTAAGTGGCAAGTTGAAAATCCTTGGTGTGGCTAATATAGTTGGTATATGACCTTATTTATTGAGCCAATGCCAAAATAACTGGATCTTTAACTGTGTGAGATCATTCACACAAGTTCTTGTCCATATCAAATCCATGTACATGTATATTCATATAAAGTAACAAAGAATGTTCCATACAGGCTAGGGTGCAGAAGGAAGTTAGAATTGTAAAGTTTGGCATTCATTTATGTAACTTAATATCGCTTCATTATAAATATATATTATCCAGTTTTATGAAAGTTAATCATATTAACAATTTACTTAAACCACCAAATTTGACATACATTGTAATGCAACGAGTTTCCAACTCTGAACATTTATAGCATAACTTATTTGAGTTGCTATTCTGTTCAGAAGATTGGTTAATGGTTGAATAACTGTCTAGTGGGCAAGGACGGCCCTGTGTTCTCCTTGTTTCTATATATAGGATCTTACATGAAATTCCATTTCAAATGAGATTTATGAAATGAGTCTAAAAATAAAAAATAAAATTAGCTAGACTCTGACGAGCTAAATTGAACAATTCGTGGCAACTTTCATAATTTCAAATGAAATGAAAACTAGTGTAAGATCCTTTTCATCACATAATCAAGATTTGTGGCATTCATTCGTGTAAAACAACAATTTTCATGCAACCTTGAAATGTAGAAATCAGCCATTTTTACCCAGTGCGTAGGTCTGTGACGTCATGTTCTTGTCCTATGTGTGATGTCACAATGGAAACAATTGAAACTTAAAACCAATCACAGGGCTAAAAGGTCATATTACATGGGTTAAGACGCAAACATATATGACATGGGTATATTCACTGGACAACACAGTACATAATGTGATAAAAGTGTTTACATGCACATATAGCATAATAGCATTTGTGAAACCAATGGAAAATGTAGTCCAAGCAACCATGACTTAGAATAGGCTGAGATATGTTTTCAGTTTTTAATCAGCCAGATGTGATCTGAATTGTGGTCTCTATTGCCCTAAGCAGGTGCTTTAGTGTGTGTGTGTGTGGGGGGGGG